TAAATAAAACTATTTATTTAACGACAATTCAAAGGAAAGGAATTGAAAAAAGAATTTGGAAATTAGCTATTCAATTTGAACCAAAAAAAAATGCCAAATGACTTGAAACCCGTTTATAAGTAAATGAAATTAAAAGTAAAATTTTGCCAGAGCATTTGTTTGAATAAAAGATTTTAATATATACTATCTTCACTACAATTTTAAAAACAATAATCAGCCGTAAAATTTGTGTATTTTTAATTAAATCATTATCAATTCCCCAATAAAATATCCATAAAATATGCTTTGTTAAAATTTTAATTCTAAAATTGCTTAAAATAATCGGCCTCAGTTCTCTAACAATTCGGTAAGTTTTAAATAAAGAACATTTTATACCTTCATGGTTTTAAAACCGTTTACAGGAAGCCATGAATGCAAAACTATACGATTCTTTAACCACTTACAGCTGGCATGGTTTCAAAACCATAAAAAAGAAATTTTACTGGGGAATTGGGGTTAGGCTTTTTGTTAGGAAATAGGGTATTGGAGTTCGTTAACGGCCATTAAAAATGTCTTCATCTGTTGAAGGTAATGGAGAAAATGTTATGTTATCAATGCTAGACTCGAACCCCCGTTCTGTCTGTCATGAGAATAACGGATTTGCCCATTCGGCTATAATATGTACTCTACTGCAAGGAACTTATTGGCTTTATTAGGTTGAAGAATTTGGTGCGCTAAAACTCTGATTGTTAGGTGAAAACAGTTAATAAAAGGTTTCTCCCACGGTAAAGAGATTCTATACCATCTTATTAAAGGTTATCCTACAGTTAAGTTTGAAATAACAATAAAATCAATTGTTATTTACCCATTTGTTTCCAAGAAATTTCTAACTCTCTAGGAATTTATAGAAATGATCATGATATTATCTCATGAAATGGGACTGTAATTCTAATTGAAAACATTTAATTTTCATTACATCTTTTTTAGTACAAAAAGTAAGGAAAACTTTGCTATACATTTTTAAAAACGTCGAATCTTTGCAAAGAAATCCTAATCGATCATATTATAGTATTCAAATATTTCATAAGATTTATTATGCTTAAGATTCTATTCTATCCTTCAGCACACGCAACCTTCTGATGTCAAGGGAAAGATGAGGTCTTCCTCTGAGTAACCTTTGTAACCTTGTTAAATCCTTTAACCTCTTAGAGAAGAGAACATCTAATACTAGTAGAGAGACAATGTTGCTTTCAGGGGATCATTGAAGTGAGGAGCTGACAACTTAGTTATCTGAAAGTATGTTAAAGTTTGGTTAAAATAAAATAATGTTTTATGAATATGAATAAATTTAAAAAATAATAATAATAATTGATTCCATAAAATAATACAAAAAATCGTTGTCTCAACGGTAAATTCGTATCCGTAGTAATCAAAAGCCTATTATGATTCAATAATAAAGCGTTTCCTTAAAAAATTATGAAGTAAATCTGTAATCAGACTGGCTTTTTACCGTAACAAAACTAATTTTATGCAGCAAAAATAAACCTGTTGTCATAATAGACTCTTACCATATGAGAATAATTTTTCTCTGTGAAAGTTAATAAGTAAATCTGTATTCGCACCGGATGGGAAATTTTTATGTCGACAGAATTTGTTTCGATCAGTTGTGGCTGGGATTCGAACCTGGGATATTTCTTTGGAAGACATGCACTCGGTCCTCTGAGTCACTGTTTCTCAAGAGTTTTATTATGAAGAAATTATGGCAGAGATAGATTCGTCTAAATATGTTATCAATTTGGCAATAAAGTTGAATTGCAGTTTTGTTTATACGACGTTCAAAACTGTAAAGTAATAGCTAAAAAGCTAGGGAAAGTATAGAAAATAAACATGAAATTATTGCCGGTAAGGTAAGGTTATATTACATAAAACTGACAAAAATTGGCAATTCAACTTACGGTTTTAATTCGTTTGTAATTAATGCAAAAAATACTGAAAATCCGTTTTGGCGTCCGAACAAACGAGTATTTTTTAGAGTGTATGCAAATTAGTTTTGATCAACATTTGCTACATGCATTTATTAAAGATTACATTTGTCTTTTTATATTTTTAATAATTAATTCCCTATTTGATATCTGAATTTCCCATATTTTCTTCGTTTGTTTTGCATATTCTATTTTCAAAATAAAAATGTACAGTGTTGGACATAATAAGGAATAATTTTAATTTTCTGCAATAAATTTTCATTAAATAATTTATTTCGAGAAAATAAAATATAAATATTTCTGTTTTTTGTTTCTTTTTATAATATTTTTTTTGTGTATTTTCTTATTAAATATTAAATTAACTTTTTGAAAATCAGTAAATTATTATGATAGTATTTGTTTTTAAATTTAAAATAATCCCAGTTCTTAAAATTTTTTGTGTAGTATTAAACATATTTACATAGAGTTTTTTATTCAGTGTTGTTCAAGTTTACGATTTTATTATTATTGTTATTTATTTGAATTTGGATACTTTACTTTTATACTAATTTTAAACGAACCATATATTTTTTTTTATTTATTTAAGAGAACGATTAAAATTTTCAAGTTGCTTTTTTTTAATGTATTTAGTTTATTAGTTTATTATGTTATTAATTGATCTAGATTCTAAGAATTAATTTCGCCTCATGCAATAACTTCCTAAAACTGCAATTAAAATTTAAATTACAAAAAAAACTTCTTTTTACTTTAAGTTTTTTAATTGTTTAAAATATCTATATAGCTCTAAAATTCATTTTAAAGCAATACATTTATATAAAGTTACGTAACAAATAATATATATATTTAATATAATATATATTAAATATANTATATATATTATTATATATTTTATATATATTTATATATAGTATAATATATATAAAAGTTATATACAATAATTTGTTTCATAACGAGTTACAGAAAAAGAATGAAAAGCAATATTAAATTCCTTGCATATGCTATGATTTCCTTCCGTTAATTAAAAATATATGTTGATCATTATAAAAAATATTTTTTATCTAATGTAGTTAAAGTTATAATAAAATGTTAGAACGAAAATTAAATTAAAGTTAGAAGCAAATTAAGGATTTTAATAAAAATTAATGGGAAAAAAAGCACACAGTTTCTTTTTTATATATAAAATTAAATGAATGGAAAGTTTTTCAAACAGAATGAAACATATTTAAAAGAATTTACATATTAATATTTTAATCATTATATCATAATAATCATTAAATGTAATTTAATCAAACATAATTATTTTTAAATTTATATTTTTATGGAATGTCGTATTAAAGTATTACTGATTATTAAAGTTCAGTATATAAACGCTGAAACTTTTTTAAAAAAAACTTAAATACAAAGTTGTATAAAAGTCATACAAACATAATTAAAATAATTGTTTTATATTTTTTTTTTCAATAAATAGATTTTGAACAGAAAATACAATATCTTTCTTTGTTAAAAAGAAGATGAATTCATATTTTTTTAAGCGACGTGATGAATAGTTTTAATGCATAGTTTTTCAATTAACCACAGTTAACCATTAGAATTAATTTAATCTCTTAAATCTAAAATAATATATAAAAACTTATTTTTAAATTCTGAAGCCCTTTTTTTGGAAAATGAATCGATGATATTCTAGCAACATGACTTAAAATATCGAATCATATTTTGCTAAACTATGAAATAATGAATTACATTTAGTTTCCAAGTTTATATAATTTTATTGTTTTCTATAAAATATGACCGTATCTTTTTCTATGAGCAATAGTTTCAAACAGAGTTAAAACAATGTCTAATAAATACAGAAAAGTTATTTAAAACTACAATATAAGGTGTTTAAACGTTAATTAAACTAAACATTTGCTCTGTGCTTGAATCATTTAGTTATTTTTCGCTGATTATTAATTTGAGGAATTTATTGTTAGCTAAAGGAACCATAAATTATCTTTATTATTTCTAAATTCTAAAATAATAAATTAAATTTCGATTTCGGATATTATTATTAATGTTTTCAATGTAATTTGAGAGTATTTTTTCCATTAGCAATATCCTTAGACGGAGTTACTACAGTGACTTTAAAATGACTTTAAAATATCCTATATTGTAGTTTTAAATACTGAAAAGTTATTTAAAACTACAATATATGATATTTTAAAGTTAACTAAACATTTGTTGCATGCTTGAATCTTTTTTTTAATCTTAAACTTATGACTTTATTGTTAGCTAAAAAAAGCGTAAACTATTTTATTTATTACTAAATTATGAATAAATGAATTATACATTGTTTCTAGTTTTGCATATCATTATTGTTTTCAATATAATGTGAGCATATTTTTTTCTGTGAGCTATAACTTCTAACAGAGTTGAAGTAACGTCTAATAAATACTTAAATGTTACTCAAAATAGCAATATAGGCTATTTTTAAGTTAACTAAAAATTTGTAGTGTGCTTGAATCTTTTAAGTTATTAACTTTATGAATTTAATTTTGACTAAATGAAGCATAAATTAATTAATTTATTTTTAAACAAACTTTTTACTCTTTCATGTTAGTAGTAATAAATGTTCATTAACGAAGAAATTAAATTATCTTACTTTTACTTAAATGATATTTAAATATTGCAAGTTTCACTTTCAATTTAAACTTAAATGTGTAACTCAAATCATAAACATTCAAAGATATCACGACTATTTTTTCAAAGCTATTGTTACCTTAGTATTAATTATTAATTTCTAAGGCTTTTTTTTAAAATTTAGTATTAATATATTCCGTTAAGAAATGGTAACTTACTGTTATCATAATTAAATTAGGAATGCTTAATGTTTTAATTAACGGTATATAAATATCGAAGTATTTCACTTCAATTTAGGGTTTCATAAAATATAGCTCTTGACTTTATCGTTCTTCTTACGCTAGTTCAAACTTTGTTTTGTCGCTTTTGTCTACAACAATTTTTGCTGTTACTCGACGGAGCTTAGAACAGAAACAGACAAGACAGAAGAGCGGATCCTGTGTTTGGTTTCTCTCCCTGTGAAACAGCCGTTAGGTGGCGATACGATCCCTTACCATAAATTGAGGCATGTTTCCCGGAGACTGGACATTCAAAATCTGAACGTCGTATCTACCTGTTTTTTCCAGGGGACTTATCCGGAACATTCTTACTTTCCCGAACATTTATTGTTCTACTCTCGGACTATATTAAAAAGTGGATTCTAATTTAGATCGTGTTTATGGTTTTGTGGGAACTATTAGATCTGACGTAAAGTTTGTTTTTGAATAGCACGTGTGCTGTTTTGAAGAAAAAATTTGAAATGTAAGTAATATTTTAAACTTTTTAGTTCGTAAATACTTTAAAGTATGTTTTCATAGATATGCTAATTTAGGAGAAAGGAATTATTGACTGTATCTTATGATTGCATTTCAAAACAAATGGAAATTGTATATCTTTTTCTAATATGAAGCCAGTTGCTTTCATTTCTTAAAGACTGCGGGATTTAAAATAGGAGATCAACATTGTTGGGGTGTGTTTTAGTTAAGGTGAACTTTTTTTATTTAACTTTGGGAGGGAATTGCTTACGTATGATGAGAAAAATGAATTAATTAGAAAAAAATTTTACTTAATTATAATTTTATTTTTCCTTTAAAAAGCAGTTTTCTTAATATAATTTAAAGCACGATAACTTTAAACAACTAAGCATATTCGTTATATTTAATAATTGAGCAGATATTTTGGAATTGGTGAATAAAGTAATTAATTCTATGAAACCAAGAATAGCTATTTTTTATATATCCCAAGTTAACATAAAATTACAACATCTAAAAATTAAAAAAATGAAATAAATATATATGAAATAACTATAAATAATTTAAAAAAATATAAAATAGTATCAGGATATTTTAGTTAGCATTGTAACTGTATAACATTTGTTGATTTTTTACGAGTAACAACATTGAATTTACTTTACGCTTTTTCGAAGGTTTATTCTCATTCTTTCTCCTTAAGGAAAATTTATTTTATCATATTTGGAAAACAGAAAAACTCTGCAATATTTATGTATAACTTATAGCTTTAAAACTTTACAGAATAATATTGTAAGATGAAACTAAGAATATTTATTACATTGAAAAGGGAGGAAAAACATTAAAACAACTTCAAATGAGTTTGATTTTTACTTTCATTTTGAGAAAAAGACAAAATTACTTTGAAATATGATATTATAAAATTTTAATTTTTTATAAGTTTCGAATTCCTTTCATTGTGCTTTGTTTCAAACAAAAAAAAACTTGATTTTTTAAGCTTGATGGTTGCAGAAATGCTATTTTGCATACATGAAGAAAACTAAAAGAAATAAGGAATAAACAATTTACCTTGTTTTTAAAATATACAAAATACAGAGATACACATTTTACTGAGAAGTCACATTTGCTCAATACTATTTCATGTGTTCTTCAAACCTTTTATGCAGAATCTTCAAATTTTTTCATATAATTTTGTTTGAGCAATAATGAATATGGTTTAGAAAATCACGTTTCTATGCTACTTGTATTGAATAAACAGTTATAATGTGTATTATTTAAAAAATAAAACTACTTTTTTTGAAATAATACATTTTCTAAAATGTTATATACCATCAATCTATTACTCCAACTTAAATATCTTCTTAACATTTAGCATATGGTAATAGAAATTGATTAGTGATGAAATATATAAGCCAATTTTGACAAAAAAAAATACATTGAAATATTATTTCTTTTTACCTAAAATACACAAAAGTTTTAAAGATTTGTTGAAAGATTCATTTAAAAGGTATAAGAAACTACGTGTTTCTTTTATTAATATTTACGATTTTATTTCTATAAGCTATAATAATGGAAACCCAACACGAAGTAATGCAATGTAACTAAACATAATTTCATCAATTTAAGTATAATGGTAAATTTCTTACATCACATTTTAAATGATGACATATCTACAGTTTTTTTAATAAATCAAACTAACTTTCTTCTTTCTATAGTTCTTTTAGTGAGTCACACTAACTTTCTTCTTTCTATAGTTCTTTTAGTGAGTCACTAACACAGGTTAAGGTAAATCTAATATTATGAAACCATCGGTCTAATGTTATGATGATGATATTCTTCATAACACCTAATCTAATGAAAATGTGTAAATATCTAATGAACAATAAAAAAAAAATAATTATTGTATATTTGAAGAACTACGTGAAAATGTAGAATGGTGATATATGAGTATTGTAAGGGTGATATATGAGTACGTTTCGAAGGACGGTAAGAAATCTATCAACTAAGTACCTATTTTACGCACCTTGGAATATTAGGTTCTCATTATCACAATACTCAGAAAGGTAATACCAAAATTAAGTGCTCAAATATGCAAAATTTAGGTACAATATATTTTTCTTCTACCAACGCATGACACAAAACAAAACTAGTTATAAACTTTTAAAATCATTTCAAAATTTCCATTTGTTCCGATAATTGGTCTGCAAATTTCTGAATACATTTTGAATATATTTTTTGAATACTTACAAGGACGGGACATGAAGACCCATTGGCTATTAAGAATTTCAATTTCATTAAAATAGTGTTTTTGGTAATGAAATAAATGCTTAAGCGTTTTTGTTTAGCTGACTTTGGTTGCTGAATGTAACTCTGAAAATGTACATTTGGGGGAAAATCTTTGTAAGTGATTATAAAAATTTCGCCAAATGTGCAATAAGGAATACAACTGGAACAATTAAATTTTGAAATGTTGAAAATAGTAAGTTTCAAATAAGTTCTCGCTAAAGTATCAATCCAACAAAAAATATTTGCAAAGTAAAAAAAAAAAAATTTTTTTTAATGTAAAGATATGCAAAATTAAAGAGTTTGTCACTCAAACGAATAGAATTCCTATCCTAATTTTTAAACTTATAGCTTTTCAAAATGTAAACACGAAGTTAAATAGAAAAGGTTTAAATTAAAACAGCTTCGAATAACCCGCATTGCTTTTTTTTCTGGGGATCAATAAAGCATGGAGAATCTTTAATTTTTTTTCTTAATTTTATTGTAACGCTATTTTGGCTTAGATTTGAGTTAATTTTACTTCAGACTTTTGGTTCAGATTTAAGCCAAATCAAAGCTTAAAAATCATAGCAATGTTTTTGTCCTAAATTCGCGTTTTAAAGTTAAATATTGTGAATGTTAGATATAAATATCATATTATACTATATTGTACTATATATAATTGATGATATTTTACAAACGTTAGAAAAGTTTCATATTTCTTCTGTAATTTTCCATATAATGCTGCATAATTTTTCAATCAAATAAAATCATTTAACCACAATTTTGTTACGGCATTTGGGACCCTTAAAATAAATTTTAAATATCGAAAAACAAGTGCCGATGATTTTCTCTAATGTTCGTTTTTTTTAAATAAAAAAGAACAGTTTCCCCAAGTTAGTCAATGGGAAAAATGGGATAATTTTAATTTAATAATAGTTTTTTTTTAGCGCGTACGATAATTTCTTTCCTGCATTTTTTTTCTTCAAATTTTACTGATAAAGGAAAGGAAATACGAGTGATTAATCATGCCATGTTATTTAATTCATGTTAAGGAATAAATAACCATAAATACTGTTTTTTGCTAATAAAGTGATTTATATTCAAAAATTTATACTTCTCTCAAACCGAATTTGATAAAACACTTTTGCATTAAAAATTTATAAATTTCTGTTCATATAAAAAAAAGAATTATATTATATAAATATGAAATATTGTCTTTATAGAAGTGATTTTTTTTAATATAATGCTCAGAATTTCTACAGAAAGTGTCGTAGATTCTTATCAAATGAATAATGTGTAGTGTTTTTCAGAATTTCGAGTTATGTAATAAGAAAAAGCATTCTCAATATAGCTTATGTTTCTGCTTTTATATTTGCCTTGACAAACATTTCTGTCGAAATATGTTTCCAGACTTATATACTTTCCAGGAAAAGAATACGTTTTTCCTTAAAAAAATATTTTGCAAGTAAACTTTATACAGAAAAGAAATGCTCTTAGAAATTACCATTTTTGTGACTGCAATAGAGATTTTAAAAAAAAAAACATCTTATATATTTGCTGTTTGTATGCAATTCCTTTACTAAACCAGTTAAAGTCGTAAGTATTTAATTAGTTTTACATTATACTTCATTTGCATTCCAAAAATTATACTTGTGCTTATATATTAATTTTTGAGTCAAGTAAATTATATTTTTGGAAGGCATTTGCGTGAAATTAAATCTTTAGAAGGAAATAAAGATTTTTTGTAGTTTGTTAAAAAGTGCAGCATTATGTAACTTTTTATACAAAATCTAAAATTACTTCAAATACTAATGTTATATGGTTACTTGTACAATATTTTGAACAATTTAATACTTGATTTAAGTGAAAATAAATTCAATGAGTTCTGTTTTTATTTCAATAATTTCTAAACACATTTTACAAACATTAATTTTTTTAAGCTCGATGTGTTTGCACTTGTACTTGTTTTTCAATTATTTATTAACAATTTATTTTTCAACAATTTGAATATATTGCATTTTGTGTCCAAAGTTGTATTTTTAAGAATTTCAAAAATTAATTTCATGATGCTAAGAAACGATGAAGTATACTGATCGAAAAATTTCCGTTAATATACAGTAATTAAAAACTCTTGAAAAAACATTCATTTTTTAACTGTAACTATAGACGTGCTGTAAATTTTGAAGAAATTACTTAAACATATTAATTCTTGTTTTATATTTTAATTCCATGATTTCAGATGTTTAAAATATGTTGATTTAAATATCTATATGTACAATATTTTTTATGCGTCGTCCCCCAACCATGGTCAAGCACCTAGCCCAATTTTAAGGGCACTTTCCTTTAACGGCCATGGTAGGGTCAAAATGCCACGTCATTTTGACCCTGGTCAGATGACGTGGAAAGCGTCTGAGTTCGTACCCGTTTCTCTAAGCTTCCATACCCTACCAATGAGAGGATTTTAATTCATTACAGAGTTAATGTAAAGCTGCATATACACGTCAGCTGTTGGTATCGAACTCGCAACCTCTAGCTCTCCAATGACTAGCGTGAGCGACACCGTAATCAACTGCGGGACCTTAGCCCTTATTTAGATATGCATCCAGCTTATTCACAGTAAACAATTGCAATTAATACTAAGCGATTAATCGTAAACAGCAGCAACTTCAAAATTAATAGTTTATTGTTTCTAAAACTAGTCTTATATTTGAATATAATTATTATAAAAAGATTGAGCATTTTATGACC